CCCCCCACCCCCACGTTCCTCCCCTCCTCCTTCCACCACAACAGACTTACCAGCTACACACAGCTGTATCAGAAATCAGATCAGTATTGGCTGATATGCCTCCTTAAAAATCGGCTATCAGTATTGGCCCCCAGAATCTCTATCAGTGCACCCCTACTGCTCAGGGAGGTAAACTTGCTATGCAGTTATGATGGGTTATTAGACTTTCCTGTCTGACTAACACACCAGGGGGCACAGGAAAGACCAGCAGGAAGTCAAGGCAAGGCTTTAGATTAGCAATCTCTAAACACTGGGGCGGGGGGAGTGGGGAGGAGTGTTCAAGACGGGTGTAGATGGAAGTTAGCAGTTCTTCCGCCAGTGCGGGGAGCTCAGAGAGCAAGGGGATACTGAGTGGTTTACAGCACCCACTGGAGGGGCAAGGGTGTGTGAGAGTGGTTCCTAGTGGGAAGATTCAGGCAGAAGGCAGAGATAGGCCAGGGAAGCTGGAGCAAAGACGCACAAACATGTGTTGGCTGTTTATTGTCTTAAGATCTGTCTGCACCTAAATGCCTTGGTTCAAAATAAAAGTCTGGTGTCTTTACTCCTGGACAGAACAGAACTGCATGCTTGAATCTAAGGCCTGCTGAGTTGATCAAAGGGAGAATCTGGGACAGGATCTATAAGGCCTGGTCTAATGTGGGAGAACTGCCTGATTTCACCTGAAAGAGGTAACGGCTTGAAGGGGGAACACACAACAGCTCCAGATAGCTGGTTCTCTGTGACAAGTTAGTAAAGGTCTCCCTGGAAATGACAACAACATGATCTGGCTCCTATGAAGTTCTTTTCATCAGCAGACCTGAGAAAGGCCAGTATCATTATCCCCACTTTACAGATGGAGAAGATGAGGCATAGACAACTTGTCCAAAGTTACAGGGCAGTGGGCAGAGCCTGAAATAGCATCCAGGTCCCTCCAGCTCCAGCCCAGCACTCTCTCCTCTAAGCTGTGCTGTATTAGTTTCAGATACTGGCCTGGGGGAGGAGAATATACTGCAAGAAAGAAGGAAAATATTCTGAAATCTTCAATTCCCATCTCCATCAAGGGTTGCTGTAGGGAGAGAGGCAGTAGCTCTGCAGCCAACACAGGTGACCACTTCAGTTGGTGCCTAACAGCTGTGATGTCTGAGAGAGGTTTAGCCTTGTCCAAACACCTATCTAAACCTTCCTCTCTCATAGCAATTTTATCCTTTTCTCCTTGGCTATGCTGTCAGAGGCAGCCACACAAAACCAATTATTTCTCACCTGCACAAACAGATAGGTAAATGAACCCTCCCTGCTCTAATCCAAGCAATCCAAAGGACAGTTTCTGCACATCCACCAATGTGATAATTACCCAACTCTTCTGAAAAAACTTTCATTATTTCAGGCACCACTAACCCCCAGTGCTGGCACTGCAGTTGCCAGATTTCCAGGCATTAGCTGTGAGAAGGGCAAGGGGACAGTCTACCTTCTTGGGTTGCTCTGCTCCTTTCTGCTTCCTGGATAAACAAGGAAAACATCTGCGTCTTCACAAATTTTTTCACAAACTTGCGGCAGGACTTGGAGGTGATGGCTTTACAGAACGCTCGCTCCTGCAGGGTGCCCTGCCCGCTCTTGCTCCATTTGATGTACGCTGCATAGTGGCCAACAGTTCGGACAAAGAAGTGCACAAAACACTCCGAAACCTGAGCGTTCACTTGTTCAGAGGCTGGAAGGAAAAAGAGAAACATGAACGGCTGGGAAACAGGAGCCACTGTCTATGAAGTTTTTACATGGTGCCCATTACCTCAGCATATTACCATGTTTAATGTACTTATCCCTCGAAAGAGGGCACTGCTATTATCCCCATTTTTCAGATAGGAAACAGAGACTTATAGATAGAGGCTACATGACTTGTCCAAAGGCACATTGATTCTGTGGCAGATCAGGGAATCGAACCCGAGCCTCAGTTAGTGTACAGCCTGCTAGACCATCCCTCTCACCCTCTGTCTGACACTGGAAGGAGTTGCCTTGAGAAATCAATCCATATTCTTCAGTTTAAATGCAGCAGTAACACCTGGCCTATGCCAGCTTGTACGGGTCCCCATTCCCAAGTGCAGAAGAAAAATGGGAGAAAGCCCTGGAGATCCCATTTGCTTAGCAGTGTGAATTGTAGTTGAATAAATAGTTGAACTGAACTGCTGCTCAGACCCAGCCTGGTATTTAAATGCTCAGTCATTACAGTAGCTGCAGGTCTATGTGCAATGGACAGGTACCTGGAACAGCCATGCTTTGCTTTTCTTGTAACACCTTGTGTCCACAGACCTTAACACACTGCATACAACCTAATAAAACTGTGCCTATAACTTTCAAACCAGGCATGCACTAGCTGACAGAGAGGCTGGAAGGATGATCTCATCTTACACTGATCTAATTCACAAACTGTGCTTGTGTCAGAAGCAATTGTCATCAGCTTCAGACATCAAAACCCAATTTTTAGAGATTAAATCAGTAAAGAGCTATAACAGCCACTGGCATATGGCACTGCCCTGCACGGACAGCTCTGGGCAGATAACTGTGCTAATGAACCAGACATAATCTACAGTGTCAGAAGGATGTCTAGGTGTCAAGAGGTTTTCCTAGATCTATATTTCACAAATTTCCAGGGTCACTGCCTCCTCTGCTTTACAAAGCCAAAAAAATCCTACATCTTCTGGACCTTTGGCTGCCCTCTCTAGTGATGGATTATTTCTCTCCTTGTCTTTGCAGTCCCTTCTGATGGTAACAATTATGAAGCAAAATATTTGCCT